TACCTACTTCTTTCTTAAAGACTTAACATTTTAATGAATAGTATGAGGCATAGCCTTATTCTCAAAGCCTCATTGATGTTGGTCAGTTCAGTGTGGAGGTCAGGAGAAACTGGCCCCTGGTCCCTGCAGAAGTGGAAGATGTGGGAAACTCATACAAGTCCTTATGCCAACTATCTGTTACAGCATGGAGGCTTTTCAGTGCAGAGTGGTGAAACCTGAAACAAGAAGTCAGCTTAGCTGTCACCACTGGGGGCCACTGCTACTTAGCAAGAGAGAAGGGAAGCTGCAGCAAGGCCCAGACCGTGCACTGTCTGGAGATAGCTTCTGTTAAGAGGCAAGACACTGACCCTGTGAGGAGTCACTGTTAAGGGATGGGAATAGCCAGTAAAGATATGCACAGGAAACTGAAATCTCCTGGCAATGAACATATGAATGAGATGCTAAGACTTTTGCTGAATATCACCATAAGTGATGGCAGAAATGGCACCAATCACTCACTCTTTGTGGTGGTACTCCCAGCCCTGTGCTGATCCACAAATCTTTGGAACATGGCTTGCCTGTCAGTAAAAACTGGGACCCCTTGCTAATCAAACCTGCTTAAAAGTGGGTCATCATTGTTGTCTTCCATGACCAGGAATCACTTTTCTTGCTAAGAGGGAGAACAGGCAATATGGAGTAGCTAACAAATAATGTCAGGTAGCAGAGACTTTTTGGGGAGCAATTAGAGGGTAGGACAAAATGGAAAATGGTAAGATGGAATTACATACAAAAGAGAAGCAGATGGCTTCTTCTTACAGTCTGAAACATTTTTTTTCTCAATACGACTTTTCTTTGTAAAGTCTGGAACAGTGGATTCTGGACTAGATGCAATAATCAGGCTTTACAAGTGTTTCTCCTAAGGATCAAGAAGTGTCAAGTGAAAATCTTTCTCACTCCAGACATTATCCATATTTATAGCGTTATTTACAGACAAATTGACCCTTCTGAAAATCTTTTGTACAAAACATATTCACTCTTAAATGGAAACTGAGGCCTGACTTTTCCTATCTCTTTCATGTAAGATGATGGCATAGCTCACTGATTTCAAATGGGCTAGTGTTCAAATATGTAGAAGTGACAAGGGACACACACCTAACAACCATTTATCACACTGATATTTTGGAGAGGAGCATTTACATGTCACATACACCAATATTTGCTCCTTAATGCTGTGGCTTAGACAGCAGCATGTATTTTCTTTTCAGTCTGAGCTGTCATGCCATGAAGGAATGACATCTAAGGGCCAGCCTGACTGAATGTAATCCTTTTGAAAACTGAACACACACAGAGGAGAGAAAAGGAGAACAGGGCAAAGAGGAGTTTCTCACTCCCAAAACTAGTGGACAAACTGGTGTAATTGTTGCTAAGAAATACTGACTATTGCTCTCCCACCAAACATTTTTAGTATATCTTTGGTACTAAACAAGCATTATAACACATTGTGCCATATCCATCCAAATCTCTGTTTGCAGGCCAGCCTGGAGAAACCTATCTAAAGCAAATGATAAGAAAAGCAGGTGTGGGTCACTAAGGGGTGTTCCTAGCCCCATCCCCCTGGGAGAGCTCTGCCACTGGTACTGCTATTGTACATTGTTAATTAGATCATTCTAATTAATTCATTCAAAGTGCAAATTAGGAAGGAAAGAAGATAAATTACACTAATACATTTAACCTCATGTTGTTTGTTTAGCAGTTGAACAAAATAATGTGGTTAAAAAGAGTCTAACAAGGCAAAAGCCCAAGACACAGCTGTTTAATAGCATTAAAAATGAGACCTCAGACTGTGCTGTGGGCACATACTGCTTGTTTGCACTTAAAAGGCTTGCCAAGATAGCTGTACTGGCAAACCCTGCTAGTGTAGATTCATCTGATACTAACAAATCAAAACAAAATATGTATTTCCATCTCCCAGATGAAATAACCTGCACTGGTAAATGGATTATTTTACTGGTACAGCCTAGAACTCTTGCTGGTGCTGCTAGGGTAATCTGAAAGATGCTTTAGCTATGTAAGTATGCCTGCAAAACACCTAAGTGTCCAGAAAGCCATATTATAAAGTTTGCTATACATTCAAAGTTTCAAGAACTTGTCTCAACACAGAAGCCAAAACAATTTAAATAAAGTGTGAGGTGAAACTCATTTAGTTTAAGCAGCAGTGCTCCCTGCATAGGAAGCTGGATTTGGACTGAACAAAGAAGTTTTTGCTACCCCAATGTTTTCAAAGTCATATGCAGCATTTACAATTCTAGAGATTAAAATTAAAACGTTTGAGGGTTTATATGCTTTTTGTTTTTCAAGGTGATACTTTAATTCCACAGCCATTCTTTCAGACTTTTTATTAAAAACAAACAATGAACAAAACTAACCCTAAGAGATTATCAATTTCACATGACTCTAGAAGCTAAGACTTTGAGAAAAGGGCCAATTATCTTGTGATTTGTGATAAAATCACGATATTTAGCAACACTCCAAAGATCTTATCTATCTTGGCATACAAATACTAGGAGAAACATGTTTCAACTAGTTCAGCAGGCATGTTAAACTGTCCTGAGATAGGCTAGACCAGCTTTGTTTTCAGCATTGTCAAAATACAGATTGGCCCAGCTACAAAACTGGCTTAATCAGAACAGTGTTTAACTGCAATCTGACTTAGTTCTCAGACCAACATAAACCAGGCCAAAGATTTATGTTGGGCCAAGTTAGTTTCTTGAGTGTTTTTTCCATGCTAGCCACACAAGCATTCTTATTCTAAATGTGCTTTAAGATGTATTCAGCCAAAGCTATCTAGTTCTACCTCCTGTGCAGAAAGCAGGAGAGACACTTAGGGGGCTCTTTGTCACTTGAGCATAAAGAGGAGCTCAAGTGAGCACATTCAAGAGAACAACTGTTGTAGTTTGTTAGCATAGACTATGGAGTTACTTTTTCTTCCCTCTCTTGCTCTCACCATTACCACTGCTTTACAAAGTGCGTATGCATAGAGTTACATACACAGAAGGGTCTGTCTGGCTGTGTACTTTTTTCCCCAGCAGATGACTTGTAGCTTCATCCAGTCATTCTGCCCTGATTAACTTCAACAGGTTCCTTATTTCATGGAGGACAAGGAAGATCAGTACTTCATCTGGACACCTGCTTACAGGATTACTGCCCCATTTTATTCATGCAGAATATTGCCCAAGTTTGCATGTTGTGGCATCCTGTATATTGTCCTCTTTGTGGATCTCATTTTTTGCTGACTGTTCTACCATTTTGTTTTTTCACTCATGGTGATATCTTGGCCTGTTTGAAGGTTGTCCAGACACTATATGAAGTAATGCATACCTGTGTTTTTAGTTGCATAGAATGAGATAATCTGACTTCCTGACACCAGATTATGAAAGATTCACCATAATGGACAGGATTTGGGTGGAATCTCTGCAGGTTTAGTTGGGGTAAAATATGGGAAAATAGGATCAATACATTTTATGGTTTTAATGAAAGGAAAAACATGGACTCATAACATAGACAATACAATGTGCAACAAAGATTGAACATTCACAATCTAATACAAAATCCTTTAGAGATACATGATTCAAGTGAGAATTGTGTCCACGAATACCCCTTGTGCAAGGTTGTTTACAATTTACAACAGCTTTTCACACCTAAACAACTTTGAAACATACTTTATTACATACAGATGTGCAGCATTTTTAGACCATGCAATCTGCAATACTTCATGTTGTAATAAAATATCATAAAAAGAAATAACCTATGAAACAAATTACTCTTTCATCTGCTTCCTGTTCAGCCACGCACTCCAAGCTTGCATATGCCCATAGGCTGTCTAGAATTACAGATGTGTCCTGCTGTACACTAAGTGTGCACTTATCTGCAGACTCTGGAGTCCAGCAACAGGAATATAAATAACCCCCTGCATGTTAGCAAATTGTTTGCAGGGCTTTTTTTTTTTTTTTTTTTTTTGGCAGGAGAAGTTTGGGTGACATTTCATTATGAGGAAAGAACAAATTCTCCAAACTCTTATATTCAGCAAGGAGTTTCCTGCTGGTGGGAGTAATTCTCCTTATCTTCCTTAAAGCCTCTTAAAACTAATACCATTGCTTTAAGTGGTATTAGCAAATAGTAAACTAGCAATATGTGCAATGTTTAGTGTGATGACTTTTTTTTTTTTTGTACAGAGCCGCACAATACGATTATGTAAACACTGTTGTTATGTCTAGAAGATGTTTATTATTGAAATTGGCCTTTTGCATAAGTGCGTTTTTCACATACTTTGCTAATTGGGAAATAATTAAAGCCAGACTTCGCTTTGTGCTGCAGTAGCTCTCCAGTGGGCAGCTGTGGAGCGGCAGCTTCGTGACAGCCTCACGACAGCGCCTCCGCGGGGAGGAGCAGCGCCGAGAGCGGCGCTCGGCGACTGCCATGCCCGGGCTACTCCGGGCCTTCCCGGCCGCTCCCCAGGACGCTGAGGACGCGTTTCCCAGGGACACGCCACGAGGATCGGGAACAGCGCTGCGGCAGCGTCCGCAGCCCTCGGAGTCCTCCCGTCCGCGCGGGTCTCCGCACCCCGCGCAGCCACCCCGGTGTCTGCACCACCCCGTTCCCCTGAGCGCGACTCCCACGCCCGCCCCGCGCAGTGACGGCGCCGGGAGCGCGGAGCTCGCACAGCGCCGGGCTGGTCCGGTCGGCACCGCGGAGCCTCCTCGCTGCCCCGGCCAGGACAGGGACCGCTCAGAGACGGGAAGCCGTCCTGGAGCCCCGTGCACGGCTGCACCATCTCCGCCGCGGGCCGGGACAACTCGTTCGCTGCCCTCGTCCTGCCGTCCCTCCCCCGCCTGTCACTCACACGCTTTGCATAAAGCCTTCCCCCGCCCCCAGTCCATATACCGCTTCTCTGCTCCGCCGCCGGGGCAGAGCTGCGGCCAGCTGTGCCAGCAGTAGCAGCAGCCCCTTCTTTCCTTCCTTCCGTCCCTCTTCCCTACCTCCCGCCCTCCCATCGCGGCCCGCCTCCGGCCAGCGGCACCCGCTCCGCCCGGCGCTCCGCGGCTCCCGGCCCCGCCGCCTGCCCCTCCGCGGCTCCGCCGAGCCAGCAGAGCCGCGCTCCCCTCCCATGCACGGTGCTGCGCCGCCCAGGGACCTCCGCGCTCGCCCGGGAGCCGCCGCTGTAAGAGGTGCCCGCCGAGCGGGAGCAGCGCAGGGGAGGCGGGTGGGCAGCGCCGCGAAGGGGCAGATCCGACGCGTGCTCGGGGCCGGGGCTGCCGCTGCGCTGCCGGCGGTGCTGCTCCCGCCGGAGCCGGGCTGCCCTGCTCCGTCCCGACCGGAACGCCAGGCACTATCACCCCTTCCGCAGGCAGCGGGGCGCTGGGAGGCCAGTGGGGGGGACATCCGTGGACGTTGCTGTTTCCAGTATGCGGCTGCCCTCGGAAAGTGTCGGATCCTGTTGAGAAGGCTGGTAGCCTCCCCGGTGGGCTCCAGCTTCCTGCTTGGGGCCCCGGGAGGTCCGGAGCATCCCTCAGCGGGCGTGAGGCAGGGCAAGGGAATGAGCGAGCGCCTCGCTGCTCCCTGAACTGGCTGCGGCGCTGCTCTCCCTGCGCCGGCACAGAAACTTTTGCACGTGGTTATTGCTCTATAAAGGAAACTAAATGCGTTTTAGCTTCTCGCGCTGATTAATTTTTTTTTTTTTTATCGGGTTGGGAAGAAACCCTGCAAGTTTCTTTTCAGAGATGGAGTGATTTAGGCGTTCTGATGGAGCGAACTGGGGGGAGTTTAGATTTGCGTTTCTTTGTCTGCTTGTGGTGAGCTGTAATGCGTTCCTAGCAGGAGTAGCGTGTTCTGCTTTCTATCTCGGTGCAGGTTCTAGGAAGTCACTGAGTTTGAAGACTTTCGGCAGGGTCACGGTTTGGCTTTGCAAAACTGATAGTATCGGTGCAGATTTAGCAATTGAAAGCGGTGTTAGTTACATCGATGGGTAGATTTCCTCTCTTTCAGCGGTTTCACTAATTCCAAAGAAAAACCACTATGTAAAATAAGCCTGCATCAGGGAGGTGTCAGTAATTTGAAAATACTTAAATTTTGGGCTGAGACCTGCATGCTGCAGAGTTGTTAAGTAGGACAAGGAGCGTGTTGTTTAAAGTAGTGTTTACTATTGGGCTGCTGTGACAAGTAACCTGTTGAAGTGTAATGATAAATCAAAGTCTTGGTTCAACCTCTGTTCCTAGATAAAATCTATATCTATAATTTACTGACCACTTCTTGTCTTTTACATACAAATATTATTATTTCTAAGGAAAAAAGTACCTGAAGGGAATTGATTCGTATTACTCAAGATGAACATTTGCTCACAATGTAAATTACCTTTGCTGAAGTGTTTGAGGCTTGCAAAATTTCCAGCACAAAAGAGAGAAATTGGAGATGTGGTTTATACATTTTAATGTTCTTCTAAGATTGTGGACTGAGCTAACTGCCAGAAACTGCAAAAGGACATTTACAGGAACACTGTCTGTTAGTGAATGATGATAATTGCTTGTAAGGGTGTTTGTTTGACTAGTCCGTGTGTGAACTCATATCAGCACTACAGTGGAGGAAAAAGATATGTGTAGATATGTATCTTTGTTCTGTTTGTATCATCCTCTCAATAGACGACACTGTGATTATAAAGGCAGTCTTACAGGAACAGTTCAAGACCAGCATATATGAAATCTGCAAGTTCTATTCACTGAGAGACCAAGTCTTATATTTTAGTGGGGTGAAATGCTGAGTGCCTTATTCAGTAGCTGTTAGAGTGGCTCGTATATATATTTTTAAATAAATTTTTTACGACAGTATTTGTTTCTATGGCTGTGGGTGGGATTGGGTTACACACAATGATCTGTTTCTCCCCTCTGCATAAGGTCTGTACTTCACTAGTCTCCAGTGTATATAGAACTGCGGGTGGTTTTTTTTTTTTTATGTTTACCTCTTTTTTGTTGTGGTTAGGGGCTCATTCTGAATGATGCTGAACAAGTGATGCTCACAGCAGTACACAGCCTGGTGAAAAATCTGAGTGGCTATATTTGCTACCTCTGATGTGAACTTTATTGCTCTGTTTCTGAACCATATGTGCATGATGAAAGGAAGTTTTCAGTATAGTCTGAATTCCCCCAGTATGTGGGGGAAAGAAGAGAACCTGTGTTTTCGTTGAGATCCTGACATGCCTAGACTGTGGTGTCTACCCATTCACTTAATTGGAATGGAGGGCGAGGGGCAATGAGCATCTTCAGATACCAGTTACTCTGTTGTCCCAGATCAGTGGGGCGTTTAGCTCCCAACCTGCTCCCTGATGAGGAAACCGTGCAGGAGTAGGTCCTCAGTGTGAGGAAAACCCACCCGGAGAGATCCAATTAATGCTTTGCATTGCATCCTAATAGCATTTAAAATAGGAAAGTGCCTGGAAAAGTTTCAAAAAGTTGACATTAAAGGGTTCACCTTCCTATCTGTGTCTTCAAACTGTTTGTATACTAGTATTTCGGGCCGTGACCCTCTCTATAAAATCCTTCAGTTCCAGCAAATTTTAATGGGTATATAATCAGTATCATATTTTTGGCTATAGATTAAGTGGGTAATACTAGTCTGAGATTGGTGCTCAAGATCCTTGAATGCCATCTAAGTTTTTTGTTTGCTTTTTTTTTTTTTCCCCCAGACAATACAATTGCGTTAAAGGTAATTTAATTTTCATAGTGAAAGGGTATGTTTTTGAAGGTATACCACCTGCCTTGAGTTGTTCTGTGCTTAGTGTTAGTGCATTTAATAGATTCATCTAGGGAGCATTTGTAAAATACCTTCCTAGACTTCTGCATGGTAGAGTAAGACAGATACTCTGCGTTGTGGCTCTGATGTATAGGATTCCTCCCTGTTGTTGAGGATTTTGGAGTGAGCACTGTTGCTTGTTTTTTTCAATCCTGGTTAAGTTTCATCAGGCAAGTTGTGTTTCAAATTAAAGGAGATGGGCTATGGTAGTTTTACAGTAAGGCATGTCTTTATTCCTTGATTTATGTTAGTTTTAGGGGCTTTTTTTTTTTTTTTTTTTTTTTTTTTTTTTTTTTTTTTTTTTTTTTTTTTTTTTTTTTTTTTTTTTTACTGTAACTGAAGGAAAAGGTGTATCACAAACTTGCTGTTCAATATGACAAATCAGTTAGTCAACACATTGGGAGAGATAGCAAGGAGGATGGTATGGGCTATGCTGCAGTTAATCTGCAGGTGTTGCATGTTCTATATACACAGATTGCTTGTTCTGAAATGGAATCCGCTGCCCAAATTAATCACAGTAGTTTCAATTTTGTTGATGTTTCTGGTCATATGAATCTAGAAAAATATATGTATTAAACATGCTTTTTTTGATGCTTGTAAAGCTCTTGTATCATCTAGAAGCATGAAATGTGGGAATGGAATTTTGTACTGCTTAAAGATGCTCAGGAATATAAAAATGTCCATGTGAGAGCAAAGTATATCCACACTAAAAACCTGTTAAAACCATTATAGTGGCCCCAGGTGATGCTCTGACTTTGGGCATTGTACACTTTTCAGGTAGACTTTTGCCCAGTTTGTCATTTGAAGGTGCAGTAAAAGGGACTCCGGGCATGCAAATATAATAGTAATTAGTCAAGTTTGGTTCTTGTCTCTCTCTGAGCTTTTTCTGCAGTTTGAAGAGAGAGAAGTGACATTATTACAGTAGTGGTCACAGTCACAGCTAGCATTAGGCTCTGTATGTTCATCTCCTATTATTTGCATTGTGACTTTTTGACCACTTGCTTTATATTGCTGCCGGTATTCCCCCCTTTCCCTATATACCATTTTGGCTTGATTCTTCATTGAATCTGGAAACTTGCTGCCGTAATCATACACAGACCTGCATATCATGGCATAACAGTAATATTCACTTCTAAAAAGGAACTGAACAGCGTTGCATTTGTTAGGAATAGAGCAGGATAGGATATGTCTTCTGTTTTATGCCTTCTCCAAACCTGAGAGTGAACTAATGGCTTGCTTGCTGAGTACCTGACTCTCCAGGTGGCTTCAGAGGCAGTGTCTCAGTGACTTCAGCTGGTAGTTAAAACACGTTTTTTCTGCTGACTCTGCCTGTGTATGTGCTGTATCACTATAGCAGGCAGCTATAGTTCAAGATGGAATATGTAAAACTTACTTTTAGTATTTTTTTACGGTTATGCAAGTCTAAATTTATGATTGATACTAGCTTTTTGAGTTGGTTAGATTTTTTTTTTTTTTTCATTCTGTGCTGTTGCATATGGAATCATTATACCAAAGGGAAGCTTCCTAATGGGATTAGTAGGTTTTTGTTCCCTTTGCAGCTTTTGACATTCCTTAGGTATTCTGTCTGGTAGCTCTTCCTGCTATGATTCAGTACAGGAGAATGTTTCAAGCATGTGCATGTGTATGTATGTAATGAATCAGCTGGTCTAGGTTGGGGAAGGGTGAGAAAATCAGTCCTGGTTCCTTTTCTTACTCTGACTTGCTTACTATGAAAGTTGGAGATCAGGTTTCCCAAGATAAACCTGCTCTTAGGCAACAAATTTAGACTATGTCATTTATGAATCTCGTCTTACAAAAAAACAAACACATGTCAAAGGTAGCTGTATTTCTCTGTCCACCCAGCTATAAATTAAGGCTTTTTCTCCCTCATAGTGAATAATAGATATACTCTTTGATATGTAAAGTAATAATGAATTTAACACTTATTTATCTTACAAATTATTTGTTTCTTTGTAGGTGTGAAAGAAAATGTCAGTCAGCATGCATGAAAATCGGAAGTCTAGGGCCAGTACTGGCTCCATAAACATATACTTGTTCCACAAGTCATCCTATGCTGATAGTGTCCTTACTCACCTGAACCTTCTGCGCCGGCAGCGTCTCTTTACAGATGTACTTCTCCATGCTGGGAACAGGTCATTCCCCTGCCACAGAGCAGTTCTAGCTGCTTGTAGCCGCTATTTTGAAGCAATGTTCAGCGGAGGACTGAAAGAGAGCCAGGACAGTGAAGTCAACTTTCATAATTCGATTCACCCAGAAGTGTTGGAGCTTCTTCTGGACTATGCCTATTCCTCCAGGGTTATCATCAATGAGGAGAATGCAGAGTCACTGCTGGAGGCTGGTGACATGCTGGAGTTTCAGGACATTCGGGATGCTTGTGCAGAATTTTTGGAGAAAAACCTCCACCCCACCAACTGTCTTGGCATGCTGCTGCTGTCGGATGCTCACCAGTGTACCAAGCTGTATGAGCTCTCTTGGAGGATGTGCCTTAGCAACTTCCAGAGTATCAGTAAAAGTGAAGACTTCCTCCAGCTACCAAAAGACATGGTAGTGCAGCTCCTTTCCAGTGAAGAATTAGAAACTGAAGATGAAAGGCTGGTGTATGAATCAGCTATCAACTGGGTCAACTATGACCTGAGTAAGCGTCACTGTTACCTGCCAGAGCTATTGCAGACAGTGAGACTGGCCCTCTTGCCAGCCATATACCTTATGGAGAATGTGGCCATGGAAGAACTTATCACCAAGCAAAAGAAAAGCAAGGAGATTGTAGAAGAATCAATAAGATGCAAGTTAAAGATCTTACAGAATGATGGAGTCGTCACTAGCTTGTGTGCCAGACCCCGTAAAACAGGCCATTCACTTTTTCTTTTGGGTGGCCAAACCTTTATGTGTGACAAGCTGTATCTAGTGGATCAAAAGGCAAAAGAGATCATTCCAAAGGCTGATATACCAAGTCCACGGAAAGAGTTCAGTGCTTGTGCGATAGGCTGCAAAGTGTATATCACTGGGGGACGAGGATCAGAAAATGGAGTCTCCAAAGACGTGTGGGTGTATGACACCCTTCATGAGGAGTGGTCGAAGGCTGCTCCCATGCTGGTAGCTAGGTTTGGGCATGGCTCTGCTGAGCTTAAGCACTGTTTGTATGTGGTAGGAGGACACACTGCAGCAACTGGTTGCCTTCCAGCTTCCCCTTCAGTATCCTTAAAGCAAGTAGAACAATATGACCCTGTGACCAACAAATGGACCATGGTTGCCCCACTGCGAGAGGGAGTAAGCAATGCAGCTGTGGTCAGTGCAAAGCTGAAGCTGTTTGCTTTTGGAGGTACCAGCGTTAGCCACGACAAGCTGCCCAAAGTTCAGTGCTATGATCAGTGTGAAAACAGATGGACAGTACCAGCCACCTGCCCTCAGCCCTGGCGCTACACAGCTGCAGCTGTTCTGGGTAACCAGATTTTTATTATGGGTGGAGATACTGAATTCTCTGCATGCTCTGCTTACAAATTCAACAGTGAGGCATACCAATGGACTAAGGTAGGAGATGTGACAGCTAAGCGAATGAGCTGCCATGCAGTGGCATCTGGAAACAAATTGTATGTGGTTGGAGGCTACTTTGGCATTCAGAGGTGCAAAACACTGGACTGTTATGATCCCACATTAGATGTATGGAACAGCATAACAACTGTGCCCTATTCACTAATTCCCACGGCATTTGTCAGCACATGGAAGCACCTCCCCTCCTAATTGTGTATATGTTGCAATTACAAATTATCAGGTAAGAAATAGCACTTTTGAATTTCACTGTAATAATGCTTTTCAAAAAGCTTTTCAGCAACAGCATCTCTGAGAAGAGGTGGGTATGTTCAATCCAATTTTACAGCTGTTTATGGGCTGTTGTAAGCCAGGCACCATGTCTGTGACAAAGCCAGATGCTGAAAGTAGTTTGCCACCCTTTTTTTTTTTTTTTACAAGGCCTTTTCCTGCATGATTTGAAAGTAAAAGACTGAGCAAAAATAACATTTTCAACTTGTGGGGAAATGCAGAAAACTGACTCTTGCTCTGCTTTTAAATGCTGAATACATGCTAACGAAGTTTCAGTGCTTTTTTCCTGATGACAGGGACTAAGTCTCTCTGTACCTACTAACAGTACCCAAAAAAGGTATAGTAAATACTGATCTGAAGCCTGATAGTGAATTCACTTAAATTTCCAGGCAAACAGCCTGGAACCTTTGGGAACGTTGCTGTCTTGAGGTGTTTTACAGGCAGTTCAGGCCTAATTTTCCATCTCACCAGGGCAGCATGGTTGCATCTGCATGGACTAAGGTTACAATTGTTTCACTGTTATCCTTTAAAATAGAGATTTTCTTCAAAATACTCATAATCATATATGTCGAACTTGATATAGTGTCAGGAAGACTTATAATTAATACTGGCTGAAATAATTACCAGTCTATACTGCACACTGTTCCCAAACAACTTAATTATACATAATGGGCCAAGCTCTTACCAGATGCAACTTCAGCATTGTATCTTCTCACAAGCAAGCCTGAATTTGGACTTGCTTGGTTGGTTGTTGTGCATTTCTTATTTTTAGGAGGAGGGGAGAAAATTTTCACTATTAATTTGTGTATTTTGCAGCAAATCTGGCAGACTCCCATGCGTGTTGTGTTGCTTTTATCCCCTGCTCTTCCATCGAGGCTTTAGTACAAAATCAGTTACCACCAGTCTAACAAATGTAGCGTGTGCTTGATCCTAAATAATCAGTGCCCTGTAAATGGTAATTTCGTTTCAGATTTGAACAGTGAACTGATGAAGGAAAAGGCAAATACAGTTGCAGTAATTGAACAAGCTGCCTCTGTTATACTAAAAGTTCAGACTTACTGAGGTTCTCCAGAAGATAGGAAGAAGAGCTTGCTTATAAAGACTTCTCCAGGGTCTTCTTCTTGGGACAGATAATTGAGGTTTAGGTTTTTTTGGTGTTTTTTTGCAGCAGTAGACATTTGCCTGACTCTGACAGTAAATGCAAAACCCCGAAGTCTTTAAAGCAGTATAGACAGAAGTATATACCAAGAAATGTAGGGTAGTCATGACATTGATTTCTCTGTGGTACACTGAAGATTCATCTTGCAGTTGTGTTTCAGTTGACTGGGAGCTTTGACTGAGTAAAGAATACAAGGGTGGGCCCATGCAAAGCAGCAGCTCAGCTTGGAAATTGGGCTGTGTTGTGCCACCAGGTGCTTTTGTCTGGAGTCATTGTTATTTTGAAGACACTACCCTTTCTTCTCTCCTCTCCTGTACTTGCTTTGTTTTTCCCAGACTTCTCTTGGGAAAGCAGGGCAAACCCTTGAGACTTACCAGGTCCTGGGTGCTGGCAGTAATTGCCCCGACAGCCAGCAAATGGGAGCCCTTAAATCTGTGTGGCAGCTTCCTCCTTAGCTGGGAACAATGTCTGGATGTCTTCAGTTACTTTGTATTATTACTGACTTTATGCAGTTCTCAGTGTTATCAGAGCAGCAGTACTGAATGCCTGGACTCAGGTCTGTGCCAAGAAAAATATTGACTTACTCTTCTGAGACTGACTTAATTGTTCTGAAGTTTACAGTGCATGAGAGGGAGTGTTTTATTTTGAAAAAGAGTTCTTACAATATAACGGTGCAAAAAGCTTTCCTTTACTCTGCAGTACCTTGTTAAAAGCCATCATTTTAACTTCACTAACACACAAGATAACTGGCTTAACTAGCACAAGAAATAACTGTTCGAATGTAGCCATTGACTGAAATCTCCTCAGTGCTCTGTGCTCATCCACCAAGTAGGTTGATTTTTTTCCTACTGACTCCTGCTGCTTTGTCAGTGGGTGGGAGGGACAAAAAGGAAATTACTTCTGATTACTCTCTGTTTTCATGGTGCTGTGTGGCCCCAATCTGACAGCTTTTAGGAAGACTTCAGTGTGCTTTGTCTAGTTCCTCAAAGTTGGGAGTTTTGAGTAGGCTTTTTTCCCCCTATGTTTTGGAATTATTTATAATATTTTAAAGTTCATCGTAGGACAAGGAACACTGTTTTGACTTCAGTGTTGATAGTCTCTTTCAGTGGGAAGAGTTGCATGCTATGCTGAAGAACGTCTAGAAAAGACTAATCAACACTAAGTGTGGAGACCTTTTTCAGACATAAAAAATAGCCCACAGTTGCAAAAACACTGGATGCTCGGGGTTTATTAGGGCTGTGTTATTTCCTGTGAGTGTGCTCTGTTGTTCTTAGGCATCTTGAGAGAGATGTGGTGTGTTCAAGGGATCTGTGAGTGCACTGGAACTCATTTGCATTGTAATGAAGTAGGATTTGCCTCCTAAAATTCTAGCAGTGCTGTCAGAAATTACTGTGATGTTCTGATGATGGTTTAGAAACTGGCATTTCAATACAGCTTCACAGTAAAAAAGCAAAGCACAGTCTCAGCATCCAAAGACTGAATTTCTCATTGAATAATCAATTTTATAAAGTACTCTAGGATGGAATTATTGATGCATAGTGCATTGCTATGTAAAAAGAAATGAGGCAGAATTCTGCTCTAATGAATATCAGATATGTTTTAAGTAGGGGAATTGAATGGCCCTTTCTATATTGTGAATAAATTCAGTTCAGAATTTGTTAAGGTGAATGGAGGTATTGAGGCGAGACATCTTCACCATCTATTGTGCTTAACTCCAACCAGGTTTGTTTTGGCCCAGAGATAGAAAAATCTGTTTGCACTACATCCTCATATGGGTATTTGTGGAAGAGAAGTTTAAAAAGGTTATGTTTGCTTAAAACAAATACAGAAACTTTCAAGATTTTGGGAGAATATAAAAATGTTGAAGTGTATAGAATGCAGAGCCCATTGTATTGAACTGTATTGAGTCAGTTTGATTTAGGTTTCAAATGATTGAATTTATACCCAAAGAATTAAACTGTCTTTCTGGGGTCAATAGGATGGTTTGCAGAATAAGGCTAGTAGAATAATTAGGTCCAAATCTGACCTTAAAGAAGAATGTTCTTGACTGGTTTATTTATCAGTAGTTGGGTATTGCAAAGGAACACTGAGGTTTAGGGTGAGCAGGGAAACCCATCCACTGGATTGTATCCTAAGCCTAGCTTTTAGATTTTCTTTGACATGTAACAAAAACTTTGTTGTACACTGTTGGAGCAAAACCCTTTAAGTAATTTCTCTCTTCTTTCCCCCCACCTCTTCCCATGCTTTTAGTTTGCTTCTTTGTTTGGAGAAGAGAATTGGAACCTCAGATCTGGAGAAGTGATTTTAATGAAGAATCGTTTGGCATCTCTTGCATTTGAAGAAAATCCTCTGCATCTTGTAAAGTATACAACCTAGACATGAAGGAATGGGAGAAAAATACCCACGTGTCTTCAGTGCTTCAATACATGGTTTACATATGAATGGACAAACCCGTGCTCTGGTTCTTGTGTTAATAATTGTGGATTAATGCCAATATTAATCAGTCCTTCAAAGGCGAGAAAGAAGAGACAGAACTTCTCTGAGCTGTGCATCGTGCAGCACTCAATTTCCATGGACTCCACTATTTTTATGTGAAATTCGAAATGGTTGTCACCTCTCTTTGCTGTTGTTTGAAATGTCAGCTGGAGGAGAAGCAGGCCAGGTCTGAAACAGCAAGATGCTGCTGTGACTGAGGATACAGCAGTATTGCTGCTGAACTCTGCTGACTGGAGAGTACTTGTCTGTGGGCAGTGCCTACAGCATCATTTAGACCTTGTGTTGCATTACCCTGTGTGCTTCGTAAGGAACAGTCCAGTGGTGAAATGTTTTTGCAATAGTGGGGAACAAAAGTTACATCCCTCCAATACTCCTTGTTCCTATTCTTCCTTGTATTTATAAGTAGTTCAAACTGTCCTACTCCTATTTTGTTACTTGTTGTAGATATAGTTATTTATTGTTCAGTACTTGCATGCTGAAACAATGCCTGCAATTGTCTTCATGTTGCAAGGACTTGTGTGAATTGTATGTTTTGCACATATTGTGATTGCTGACTTGCTCTGCTGCACAAAGGAAGAAAACTGTTGGGTAACAGTTGGAGGTGGGAGGGAGGAGTGGCTTTCCAGTTGGAAATGGAAGGATTATAAGACAGGATCTTAAATCACACATGTACTAAGGGAAGAAGCCATGGAGGTCACTTTCTCAGGCCACCAGCTTCCCAGGTTGCATGTGGTGTGTCTTATAGATGGTGTCCTTGCAACATTTCATTTGTTGGTCATGCCTTTCAATTTCTAATCTGGAAATAGCCAAAGTCTCTTGCAATTCTCTCTTTGTGCAGCTTCCCAATTGCAATGCAAATACTGTGGAAGAGCTTCTGGATACCCAGCCCAGATGAAGTCATTGTTCAAACTTATTTATTTATTTATTGGGTTGGAGAAGGGTTACCTACAATATAGTCACATTGTCATGAAGGAGTGGAGAATGGTGATTCAAGAATAAAAACAAACAAACCTCAAGATAGGTTAGTGATGAAGTCTTTAAAAAAGGGAGAAGAAAGAGCAGCAATTTTGCACTGACTGGATTGCCTCATCCATCTGGATCTCAGATGGTAATCTGAGTGGCCAGATGTCAAAGATGCAAGTGCTCTAGAAAAATTCTTATGGGGATAAAAGATGAATTTCAAACCTCTAAAAAAAAAAAAAGCCCTCAAACTCTTCTGCTTTTTATTTTCCTTATCCAGGTGTGTCATTAGTCACTTGGTTACTCAAAGTGTCAGATGCAATCCTGAGAAACCAAACTCTGATTTTTAAATAAAATTGTTTCTTATCATTCTGGTATTTAGACAGAGATGAAACTACTCTTTTTCTTCAGAATTTCAGAAGCTTGTGTTTCACAGGTACTTTCTTTGCCAGATCCTGTAATGAAGCATGTCTTGTATTGTTTGTTTTTTTTTTTTTTTTAAATGTTTCTGAAGCCCGTCTTAACTGGCACATTCAGTAACATGGTTGGTGTGTGCTGTGGTGTAAGTAAACAGCTGCATGCGTGCATGCAAAACAAAAATAGTCACACTGGTGATGCTTGCCTTTCTCTCTGTGACAGTGATATTGCTGTATTTGTGAAAGCTTTGTCATCTGAAAGTGTTTACATTGGTCACTGGAAGTTTCTCTGTGCTGCCTTACATTTGATTTGCTGTTTGGAGTAGACTTACATTTCAGAAATAAAGTATTTGGAGTCCTGTGAATGCCGACAGAACATTGATTAGTTAGTGAAGGCATTAACAGTTTTTTAAAAAGGTGAGGTCCTAGTTTTTTAAAAAGGTGAGCTAGATGTGATAAAATTCTAGTTCTGTTGGTTAAACTGATTCCTTGAGATGATAGATTTAAAAGGTGTTTAAACCCACAACCTCTCCACCCTCATCCCCCCCTTAGATGGCCTTTAAGCAATAGGAAAACAGATAGGGTAGATCTCTGTTCTATATCCCTGTATTTGCACAGGTTGCCATGTTGAAGCAAACAACCTTGATTTTTTGTTGCCTTTTATCTTGTGGATCACTGTCAGGAGTGTGAAGGGAGCCGTAAAGTCAGACTTCCTGTGCTTTGCTTGTCCTCTCCCCAGGCACTAGCAGCTACATGAGATACAAGGAAGTAAAGAACCAGGTCCCCAGGGGCCTCCTTCTTTGAATAAGGATATATAGCTTTGAGACCTGTATGCTCTGTCAAGCTGATTAGAGTCCAGAGGTGGACGCCCTGCGTCTATCTATTTAGCTTATGAAATGTGGTTTGTAGTCCTATGGAACCTCCAAAAGTGGGATGAATTTTCTGCAGCTGTTTTCAAAGTTGTGGTCTGCTTTCAAGTCCTCAGTTAATTCCTGTGTGTAGGCTGAAGGAAGCTGAAGTCAGGGTGGGCCTCTGCCTCTGCAGGGAATACACTAGCCTCTTGCTCTTTGAATTGATGTGGGAATCCTGGCTAACTGTTTGACCATTCCAGTCCTGTAAAGCACCCCACACTTGGAAGCAAATGCAGTTCACAGGGAAGTGCACACAAAACCTCTGGCATAAGAGGGGGAGGTTCCTCTTATTTTGCAGGCTGGTTGCTATAGAAACATTTAACAAAGGACAGCCTTCCTCTTCTGGTATAATTGTGCAGCCCCTTTTCCATACGTCTGACACCTGTCGGAATAAGTGTGATTAGAACAGAATAATTTCCTGACCATTGAAGATGTGGTTCATGTGCTAAAAGAAAACTCTGCAAGTGAAGAAGTAAAATTGTGTATGTTCTTTGCTACTACGTCTTAAGATTTTGTAAAACTCATATTTTTTTCACAATGTGAAACTGAAGGTCAATAAATTATTAGAGATTACCTCTCCATAGAATGTTTATTTCAAGTGTTGTCTCTTTCTCCCCTCTGTCCTCACCCCTAAGTGCTCTGAATCCCTTATAATGTCCTTTTTATGTCCTCTTAAGAAAAGCACATCAACAACATGCAATTAAATGGTTTGGTTTAAGCTGCTTCAGCTGTGCTTTCCTTCCCTTTGTTCTGTCCTGCTGCTGTTACTATGATCCTTATCTCAAAGTTCAGCAGTTAAAGCTCTGAGAGCCTCAAAACGTTTAAGAACAGGAAATGCAAGTTTGTTGGTGCTTGCAGTACAGTTTAGTTAGTGCCTGATACCACTTCGAAATGGAATTAGGCATCTCGAATCCTTCCTAATTATTCTTAAGGTAGAAAATGCTGGCTGTGTATAAGACATTCCACTTGTTCTGTATAATACTTACATACAGCCAAGCTCTTTGAGCTTTTCATCCTGTGTTTTTATGCAGGGTGGTGGGACTTTTTTTTTGTGTGTGTGTGTGTGTAAGTGTGTGGTTTTGTTTTGTTTGTTTTTAATCCTTCTCATTTTCTACATTGGCTTAGCACATGTCTGACCTTAAAGCATTGCTGAACGCTTTGTCCAGCTATAAAATGACATCATGCAGGGGCATTTATGCAGACAGCCTGGAGTTTCAGCTCTGCTCCAATCTACTAAGTACTGACCTGCTGTCCTGCCTAGAAGAGGATTTTCCTGAAGTGTGCATCTGTTGCTCTGGGGCAAAGGAACAGGGCCTTTCTTCCTTGCTTGTGTTGTTTCATTACCTACCATCTCATCCCATTGCCTCTACAGGTCTGAAAGAGGAAGTAAAGGAGAAAGGGGTGTCCACAGGTCACAGCACAGTGATCTGAGGATGCTGATGCTTTGGTTGCCATCGCCAGCCTGTATAACATGACTTGTGTAATGGAGCACCTGAGTTCCTGACCTTGGAAATGACATTGTAGTGCTTGTTTAACAGATAGAGAAATGCAAGGTGGTAGCAGAAAACAGTGCTTTCCGCAAGAATTGAGTTTTCTGACATCTTCTAATCTTGTATCTAATGTATTAAAGTTCCTTCAGCTGCCTCCTGAAAATCGCAGGTTTCTTTGTGGTGTTTATTTGCCCAAAGGAGCTGGGGCCACAGTAGTAACTGACTTTCAGGCCTTGGCACTGCTTGGATGACTTGTGTTTGAGATATTTGCCACCAGTTTTGTCTGGGAGGGAGGGGCACTTAGAGAATCTTTAAATATGAAAGATTATGGAAGAAATCAGCCTTCCCACAGAACAGGGTAAGGTTAAATTAGTTTCATTGCTTATTGCAAGCTCTTTTCTGGACAGTAACCTGGGCTGGGTTTTTTATTTGGATTTCACCAGGGCCTGGGATGCTTACAGCAGCACTGGCCATGACCAAACTGCTTCATGGTGACTCACTGGTGTCATTCTAGGGCACTGGGTTACTTTTTATATCTGGTGATGGATTCAAATTCCTTGGAAGTCTCTGAAGTGTTCTCATACTGGAGGCCTGATATTTATGGTAAAAATGTAAAACAGATAAGTACAATTAGATTTAAACAACTGATAATCTGAAAATCACATTTGCAAGGCATTGGCTCTATTCATGGCAAGTATAAAAACTAAACGCCTTGAATGATTAGAAAGGAATCAGTACATTAAGCGTTGAGTATGGCTTCATCAAGCATACTGAGGTGAACAATTGACCTGGGAATGTCTTAAAGGCTCTGTCTATGCTAGTAAATAGAACATGCCTGGAAACTCTCCGGCATGGAGGCCAGCTGATATGAAACAGCCCTGGTCTCTTTAAGCAGCCTTTTGTCCTGGCAAGACAGGGTGAGTGCATACAAACTGCTTGGGGTGCTCTGGCCCCTGAATTCTGCCTACAGACACTCCAGAGGAGGGTAAGTTTGCATGGGCCAAAACCACGTTAGGGCTGCTCAAATGATATGGCAGAACTGACAGTCTGTTCTATGCCTGGGAACACTCCTGAGTGCAGTTTGATATATTTGCCATCGTTCCAACTGGGACATGTGAGAAAGATCATGTTTAGGCCATTGATAACTGGGTGGATGTTGTTCTGACCTAGCATCGATCACCTAAATACTGTTGAAGATGGAGGAAGGAATGCTGCTTCTGAGGGATCTGGACATTGGTAAGTGGGAAAGATGGGTCCCAAAGAGGTGGAGTCATACTGCCTCTTCAGGTGCAGTGGCGTGAAGCTTTGGAAGCATGGAGAGAAAAGGGCAGGAGCGTCCACAGTTAGGTGAAGAATGTTTGGAGTGCCTGAAGACAGGAGGTGGCAGTGTCCTGTGGGCTTTGCAGCAGCTGCATGGTGTCTTCTGGTTTCAAAAAAAGAAAATGGAGCAGAGCTCTGTCAGAGACACAGCACAGGTGTGCTCATGGGAACGCATATGTGTGCTCATAACCCTGGTTGGCAAACAATGAGACAAGTCACTTTTGTTATAAAGGATCACTAGTCCCTAGCTTTACCAGCATGGCTTCACTTTTAGCCTTTACACCTCTTTCATCTGCATAATTTACTCCCTTCCATAATGTGAAGGGCCGTGATTGAAATGGTAATCTGGTCTATCATCTGCATGTGTGTATGCTCATAAACCATACAGAAACATAAATATCATAGGAGAATTATATGTTTATTCAAATTTTTATGTTTATGTGTATGTGTGGCATGAAGCCAAGTACAAACTCCCTCTGTGGTAACATGCACACGTGCCCTCTATGTGTCTTTAATAACAGTCTGTGAATTTTAAAGTGTCACCATTTGTTAGAAAATGTACATTTAAATATAAGAATTGCCCTTAAAACAAAAAACTGTACATAAGTAAATGAGTGGTTAAATAAATGAATGTTAAATAAATGAAAATTCTCTTTCATAACCATGTTTAGGCAATGCTGGCCTGACATTGCTCTGACACTCTCAGGAAGCCAAACTAGACAATGTGTCCTTTTTTTGTGTGTGTGTGTCTAGTTACCCTAGAAACCATAATCTTTTATCTCTGAAGCAATGGGAAGCTGTGAAGGAGGCAAAGCCACAGGAGTTTCTGCCAGGACCCCTCCTAATCCTTCTCTTATGTTATCAGACATTTAGTAAATTACTTAACGCTTGGTATTAGATGAAGTTCATTAGATATTTTGTAATCACTCTGGAATTTGTGGGTCATAGTCTGTGCTCTGACTCAGAGGTAAAGTTTATGGTTGACTGTGTTACTTAATTGCAATTATATAGTTATATGAGACAGAGTCACAAATATAAACGAAGGCTTTACAAACCTGCTGTTCTCTCCAGGAGATTTCAACATACCTTATCACATTTCATCCCAACAACAGGTTCATTAGGGAGCAAAAATATTTAGTCCCAGCCTCAGTCTGGGAAGCTGGGACATGGGAGGTTTGTCAAAGGATGCAATAGGAATCACAGCAGAACCTTCTCAGATCTCCCAACACTTTCTCCTGGAGGCACTACCACTGCTCCTGCTTTGCCAGTCAATAAGATGTCAGGCTGCTTTGTGAGACTGGCTATGAAAACTTGTTGTCTCATTCATTTTATTAACTGGCTTGAGAATGGGTTAAACTATTTACAGAGATATTGTCTCCCAAGACTAACAGACTAAGGTAAACACACAAAAAAATTGGTCTCTTAGATAGCAGTGAGGGACAATAACTCTTTAGGCAATTGGTTACTCTTTAGCTAAAGAGTGCTGATAGGAAGCAGACAGATTTAGGGAACTGCTGGTAGCTGAGTATTTACACAGATTCAAAATGCTATCCTGCTCCTTGGCACCCCTCCCAGTATGGAGAGATACTGAGCAAAAGAAAGTTGCATACTGGATTTTTTATCTTACAGGCAGAAGGTTTTCTTTTCCACTCCAAGAATAGAAACATCTTGTCTTACAAATACTGGAAAGAGTTTTAAAGCCTGGGGATCCCTATAAAGGGGCAGGCTGGAGTGACCTGGCTTGAGGTTTGGGAAGCAGCTGTGTGAGAGGAGATCAGTGGGTTGGTGGAGGTGTCCCTGGGTACACAGGATAGTAGTCCACCTTTCATTTTCATGCCAACATATCCCTTACTTTCCCTCAGCCTATCTTTGCTCTTGCTGTCCATGTAAACTCCTCATAGGCCCATTGCCCCAGCCCTTACAGTTAGAAGGAGAGCAGTGAATCTTGTAAAGTTAGGAAGAAAGAAGGTGAAAAACTTTTAAAGGCATTTGCTTACCTGTTGCTGCTGAATATGGTCCAGGAACTATATACCATAGCCTGCAGAGTATCTACCTTCGTCCTGCACTACCTGTATAGCTGTAGCACCTTCCCACACAGCTTGTGGTTGTTAGCTGACTGCAACCCTGAGAGGCACACTCCTGTGTTTAGCTGTTTCTGGTTAACTTGGCAAACCCCTGGAAAATACTCATGTCATAAGGTAAGACTTGATGTGTTGTGTTAGCTAGGGCTTTGTCAGCTATGAAAGGGTTAGTCATCAGTGCTGATGTATGTGCTCTTCTGAGACAGTCTCTGTATGTCCTCTTCTAGCAGAAACATGCTTTTCATCTGTGGTCCTGCAAATGGCATTCTTGAACAGCTGGGTGCATGCCTTGCCTTGCTTGTAGGTGTCCAAACACCCTTCCTGTTACTGGGGGTATTTTATATCTGGGTTTATTGGCTAGTTTGCATTTTCAGCAAGTCAATTTGAGTTGGTAGAAATAGTTCCTTTCTCCCTGCCTCCCACCCTAGTGAAAATATTAACTCTTTGGTCACAGAGTAGGGATGTCTGTCTTTCCTCACCTGATGTTTTTTGCAGATTTTTCTGCCAGTCTTCTTGTGATTTTTCTGCCAGTCTTCTTGTGATGGACATTTGGTTTGCTTGATTTTCTGTTCAAAAGTGGAAGTTTTTTTTCAAAGGAAAGTGACTTGGCAATGGCCAGAAAACCCACCTGCTTCTGTCCTGGCTACAGCGCTGCAGGGAACTGGACACTATGGGATGAAGTGAAATC